GGAGATAGTGCAATGGGTGACTGTAAAACCCTATTTTTAAAAGCCACAAAATGCGAGCCAGGGAAGTGGGCAGAAATACTGTTCTGGTGCTGGCTTTGTTCACGAATAGGTATGATCCGATCCAGGTTGGACAAGAAATGCATAATAGAAATATACATCTACCAGAAGAAAACCTCAAGTGGCTTTGCAGAACATCCCATCTCATAGTGGGCAAATTTATAGCCAGGACAGATGGTAGGAGCATTTTCCACTATCTTGGTTTGATGCAGATTTTAGATAAGTATGACCTGGGAGGCAACACTAGCTGCCTAGTGAGATCCTGTTGAATGAAAGAGAGATCCTAAAAGGGAACTGGTATACATTCTACTGAAAGGTGATGTGGCAATGAAAGAATAACGACCTGTGTAAGCCAAAACCCATCAGGAGATCAAACAGGCACCTGAAACACTGACCATGGTCAACTTCAGACTGGGTGAAGAAGCCACAGATGGGATCAGAGAGAGAGGAGAAATGGGAAGAAAGGCAAAGAGAGGAGGCGCAAGATAAGAGATTAAGGTCGGGAAATGGTACATGATGAACAGCAGGAGAAGACAAAGGTATACACAGAATTGTACGTGTATGATAGTCACTGGCAACAAGAGAGATGAATGAGACTACTGGTATAGGTAAGGTGAAAGAAAAGGATGGCCTGAAATATAGAATGGTTGATTGAGAAGGAGACTGATGTAGATGAGCAATATGAATAAAGGGGAAATACCTAGGAACAGAATGAGAATAGAAGTCCTACAGTATCAGACTAGGCCACCAGGGAAAAAGAATACCAAAAAAGACAAATCGGAAAAAAAAGGGAACCAGATGGATAATACATACACACGAGAGAAGGAGTACAGTAAAGAGGAATGTAACCCAACCCAACAAGTCCAGACAGCAGGAGTACAGAGTGACAGAGCAGATAAAATAGAACAGACCAAACAGAGAAAGAAATGAACAAATACAAATGGTATCAGAAACATCAAGAAGTGCTACAGATAAAAGGTGGCAGTGAGAGAGGGAATACAGAAGTATAAAGAGAAAAAGATGAAAAATGCAAAAATAGGGAACTAGAAAGAAAAAGAGAAAGTAAGGGTCCTGATCCCTAAGAGATGGAAAGATTAAGGCTGTTTAACGAATGGTATAGTACTACCAAAGCAAGTATGTGAAGGATGTAGTCTAATATATCATTCACAATTGAGGAGAAAGAACTTCAGCCAATGAAACACACTGAGCAATGGCTGCTACGACCTTGAAAGGGTATCCAAAAGCCACAGAAGAAATAAGGCCTAAGTGTGAACTAGGACTAAGTATAAAATATCATTATTTGAGTAATTAATAACATATTAAAGCTTTTAGAAAAAAAAAAAGCTAAAGAAAACAAAAATCAAAGTTTCATTAACAATTGATACTTGAAACTGTCAGTACTTGGTGAAACTCCATAATTACAGAATTGAGGAAAAACATGACAATTATAGGTTTCACAAATACATTATTTATTACAACCATGGTTTTGATAGTAAAGGCATCATCAGGTACAACAAATTTCATTAAATTGAAAACAGAAGAAAATTTTAAACATGTCTAGTCAATACAGTGTCAAGGAGAAGAATGAAGATTCATGAGTGCAAGTGCATAAAGGAGTTTGTGTGCGTGGAGGTAAGTTGCCCTCCTGCTAGTGGCCCAAATTGATTACATAAGGTGGACGTTTTCACTAGGCTAGTGGTATGCGAATATCTTTCGCAGAATGCATGGAAATGCTAAAGAAGATAGCTAGTGTGTGTTGAAAGTACTAGTTTTGGAATTTTGAGTTTTTGTCTCAATAAATTATTAGAGACATGGGATAAGTTAGCAAGTTAACCATTTTGTATCAGGTAGGTCAAAGTTTGCATGTCACAACCTTTTTCTGAGTTACATATAAAATTTAATTAAACTATTTAAGAATTATTAAAGAATACAAGTAAATTTGGCATCAAAACATAGTTAGTAAATCAAATTTTAATATCATACAAGTTTTAAACTCTTAATTTTACATGGACATATTTTTAAAAATTGCACACCTCCAAGAAATATGAAATTTAATGCAAATTAATTATTACAATATAGATATTATTCAGGAAAAGCATAATCTTTATAGCCTTCAATCATATTTGTTTAAGGAGCCACACCCATATGTCACATCCTTTTTTTTCACAAATTGTCAATAGTTCAGATATTTTAAACTATATTATTTATACCAACAGAAGGTCAAAGTTTTAATCTGTCAAACGAAATATTATGTTGCACTGTTTCCTGTACAAGATATCATCTATTTTGTCATTCAGTTTCAAATTTGTTCTGATGGGAATCACATTGATGAGCTCAGAACTTTTAAAAGCTCTTAAGTCACAGTTAAAAATCCAGAAAAATTATGATAGTTATAGGACAGTGTTTGTTTTTAGTGTGCTAGTATTCTATGATCTTAGGTGTATTATTAAATTAAATAAAAAATTATTTAGTGTAATACCATTAGTTTAAAAAAGTAGGCTAAGATTCATTGACAGTCAAGTCAAAAAGAGACCTAAGTAAGTACTATATTTCTTGTTTTTTCATGCGTATTCTCTATTCATTATTATAAACGTAACTTTAAGCTATTTAAGATAAACACTAATGGTTTTCTGTTACAATTGCAGTCATTCTAGAACAAAAAAAGGGTTAATTTAGATATATTTTCTATTTTATATGGTAGTTATGAGGTCTGTCAAATTGAACAACCCTGTATAGTTATGGTAGAGAACATAACAGATAAAATATAAAGTTCATATATTTATTTAGGAAACTTCAGAGATTATGCTAATAAAATCTGGAAATTTCCAGATGATGAAAAGTATTTTTAACCTCAACATGAAAGTCACTTTGCACCTGGAGCAGTAAACACTCTGGCTCCATATAATAATAGACACATTTTTAATTAAAATACTTAATTAACAATTCTGATTTTAGTTTTCTACAGAAGACTTGTAATTTTTACTGAAACTTACCAAATTTTGTGAAGCTACATTAAGTACTTTCAAATTTATAGTACATATACCTTTTAATGGTTACATAGTGGTTACAAGGTCTTGTAAAATACATGAACCCATTGGGAAAAAAGTTTATATTGAATAAAATTATAAAGAAGAACAAATGTTGATTACACTCCATTTTCATATATATTTGCACAATTTACTATACATTAATGCTTACATTTTTACAAATTAATTTTTAAATATATATGATATAGCACAGCTTGCCCTTTGTTGCTCGAACGTGTTTTTCACAAATGAGGTGACAATAATAATGAGGTCACTATAATGGCATATTTAGGCAAGGTAGTCTTTTAAATACAAAATAAATATCATTTTCCAAGCTAAAGTCCTATGAAGCTGCTAGATGTACCACCCACAACTTACAGAAGGATCCTAAGAAATTTTTACACCCACTGGCTAGCCAATCTGTTTACCCAAAATGCTGTGGTAAGCAGTTTACTGAAATGAAGAAACTAAATAGATATGGGACAAAATATTTTTGTGTACTCCTGTCGCATTAGTGCATTTACAATTTTGTCTACCCACTTGCAAATCAACAATGTAAAAGGAAATGTATATGCCGTGTTTTTGTTTTTTACCTTGATAGAATTATTAATACTTGAAAATTTTAATACTATATTAATTTCTTGATTTTGTAATCATTTACTGAAAACTAATTAGCATGTTTTACATTTGTAATTTATTACATGGCTAAAAGTCTGGCATAAATGAGTGTATAAGAATACTGCTTTACGATCATTTGCCCCATGATCAAAAAATTGTGTCTTTGTGATGTGCCAATGCCTGCCAAAACTGCCACCAGGACACAATTTCAGCAAAATAAAGGTGTGCTCAAAACACAAGGTAAACCCCTCTAATCACCAAGTCATGCCAATCCAATTCTAAACAATCTTAATTAATTGAAAATAATAATGAGAAATCATAAATGTAATGAAATCACTTAATTTTGATTAGATGACTGTTTCATGACACTAATCAATGTAATTAATTATATCAATTGATCACCAGCTCAAATTGTAAATGTATTTTCACCTTGCCCAAGTTGGCATTCAAGGTTGCTAACCAGATATGTGTCATCCCACAGAGGTCAATTCTTCTGAGAAAATTCAGTAGGGATACACATTTCATAAATTTTAAATAATGTAAAATTGCTTGAAACTTGTAAATTTTAAAAACTAAAAAGTATGTTGCCGTATCATTATATATGAGGATAAAAATAAAAACACAAGAGTTGCTTTCTCACCCCCCCCCCCACAAGATTGTTTGTTATGAATTTTGTGCAAAGCTACACGAGGGGTATTTGTGCTAGCTGTCCCTAATTTAGCAGTGAAAGACTAGAGGGAAGGCAGCTTGTCATCATCACCCACCTCCAACTTTTGGTCTACTCTTTTACCATTGAATAGTGGGATTGACTGAAAGGGTGAAGGCTGAAAGGGCAAGCATGTTTGGTGGGATGGGTATTAGAACCCATGTCCCGCAGATTGCAAACTAGCACCCTAACCACCTGGCCATGTCAGGCTCTCTTGAGAAGAATATGTACTTAATTTTAAGTGCATACTATGAAAAAAAAATATATAACATTGCATATAAATATGTAAACAATCTATCACACTGGTTAAAAACAAGTGATTTTTCTTGCAATAAAACAAAAAATCATCAAGATAAAGGCACATCAATAAAGAATTTTTTTTAAATACACAAACACAACAAAAGTAAGTTCAGATTTAAATTCTTAAATATAATATTGAAAATAACAAGCAGTTGACACTTAACTATGATGATGGCAATAACCTTATTAATAAAGTACAAAAATTAGTTAGTTTTATATATCAATTAAGTGAAATTTCTGGTAAAGGTTTCAGAAATTGTCACCTCCAAAGAGCATATAAATATTTAGCTTACCGAACGTGAAAGCCCACCACCTGATTTTACAGAGTAAGTCTGAAAAAAAGAGAAAAGAAAATTGTCAACTGTATATATATATACTGCATTGTACAGCAGTAGAAACAGCTTTTCACTGTATCATACCCTCTACCAATTGTTAATTTCATTTGTTGTTTAGGTTTTGATCATAAAACTACAAAAATGTCAATGTCCTTAACTGGTAATATTCAGTTAAAGTTTGAAGATCAATGAGAAATCACACTCATAAAATGAATTCTAACTTTACTAGTCTGTGAATAAGATTAATACATTATCTTTTTTATTTTTTGTCGTTGTTTTACTTTTCACAAAGTGTATAATCATAATGAAGTACTCTTATAAGTGAGAAGCAATAACTAATTTTCTCTATCTAGTCAGCTGAAATGTACTTAGTGAATGACAAATTAGTTCCTTTTAAAGAAATGAATAAATACCTCAGATTACCATGAATGATAACAAAGATGATACTTCAGAAAGAATAATAAATTTGACTGTTTAGTTTAAAGCATGTACTTTTTTATAATACATCATTTAAATAAACTGTTTTTTGTGTATGTATGTTTAGAGCAAAGACACATCAAGCTACCTGCTGTGTCCACTGAGGGGAATCAAACCCCTGATTTTAGTGGTGTACAACTGTCTCAACAAGGGTCTTATGCAAACTGAAAAGTATTTCAATTTTCTTAATGGTAGCCACTGTGATAATAGCTAGTGTTGGAAATTATTATGAAGTTGGTAAGAACAAGTTTATTATAAATAACTTTTGATCACAGATGAATTATTATAATTTAATATAAATTAAAGAAATCAGCCTGTAGAATAAAACATTTCGAGAGCAGTCATTAGATATGTAGAAATACTAAAGCAGTTAAACCACACCATGAAAACATGAAGCCATTCAGTTAAGGGCCTGAAAAGCTTGTGCTGAGCATCACATCCACCCTAATTTTTATATTACCCACTCATCTAATGGCAAATTATAGACTAGTGGTATGAAATTAATTTTTTCACTTCATGGAAAAGCAAAATCATCTAAAAGCTCATGGGCTATTAGCAGTAGCATGCAGAGGGAGGGAGGCATCCAATGCAAATAGTCAAATCGAATAGTAGAACCCTTTCCGCCCTTCCCCAAGGTCTTAGGTACAAGGCCCCAGGCATCATAGAACCTCTGCATGCCACTGGCTATTAGATTACACAATATATGATCTACAGCTATGAAGTACACAGAAAAATGACAAATGAACTTTCAAAACATCAAGTTTTTTGATACAGCCAGTTTTTGTCCATTTTACTTTTATTTACTTGAATACTCTGCCTAAACCTCCCATAAAAGAAAATCTTGTTGAACTTAAAGTGAATTGAGATAATTTTATCACAGTAAATGAATATTGTGGTTTTCTAAGCAATCCTCTTACACTTTATTAGTCTTATTGAGGCTATTTTAACCAGTCTTTTGCTAAATATTTAGTTATCACCAAACCTAGTTTTATGAAGGAACTTAACATTAATTTTTAAATATTTTTTGCACGAGAAACTGTTTTCTTATTAACATAAATTTATCAACAAGTTTTCAGAAAAATTATCTAATAGACCAAAGCATTATATTTTGCATTATTGTAAAACTACACTCACAATAATACACAACATTAAGCTTTCCATTTAATGAAGGCTTACTACTGTTAACTTTCACAAGATGAATTCTCACTTATATATCCTCATCCATTACTTAAAGTTAAGGATTTGAAGTAGTGATGTAAGAACAATAGACAACCTACATTGTATGGAAGCAACTGGTTTCTCTTTACCTCAGAAATGTTGAGAGATCATGAGAACATGTGCTCACGATACACAATAACTGGCCTGTAAACAATCTTCATGCTAATTAACCCTTTCACTACAGCTGAGGGAAGATTAATTGTTGTTGGCAGCAGAGACTGACTTTTCTCCATCACCATCAAAACATTATTCCCTCTAGAGCAGAAAGTAACAACCTTCCACAAGCTTGAATCGACTGCCAGACACCAGGTGTGTTGACATAACATCAATATATGTAAGTGCCTTATTTATTATAATACAGCAAAATATTCTGCTAATTTGTGATGTTTTTTTGATGGAGAAATGACATTGATTGGGGTCGACCATGAAAGGGTTAAAACAGTACTAAAAATGTGTTCTTGATAAATTTATACCAAAATAATGGATTAGGCTGTCACTTCCATTATCTCTATCTTCAATTTAATTACACAGTGAAAGGGTTAAAACAGTACTAAAAATATGTTCTTGATAAATTTACACCAAAATAATGGATTAGGCTGTCACTTCCATTATCTCTATCTTCAACCAATCTCTATCTTCAATTTAATTACACAGTGAAAGGGTTAAGACAGTACTAAAAATATGTTCTTGATAAATTTATACCAAAATAATGGATTAGGCTGTCACTTCCATTATCTCCATCTTCAACCACATTTGAGTGTGAAATTGAAGTGTCAGTTCTTTTTCTATCTAACTTTATTCCACTGACTGATTTTATTGTGTTTCAAAAATGCTTCTTTAAAGCAAGGATCCCAGCATAGAATTTAAGATGAAATTTGTATTATTTTCTATTCCAGTAAATCTAGTTTCTTGCCTTTCTTTCCAGTATGCTTTACATGTTTCCAGTCCAAGATGACAGATAATAACGAACAGTAGCCACAGGAGGGAAACATCCGAGTGATTTTGCTTTGTCTATTAACCCGATGACTACCGGTACTAACTTTCTTAGTAGGCAATGCAAGTGTGCATTTGTGAATTGAAAAAAATGATAGAGAACTTATCTTTTAATGGATTTCTGATTTTATTTTTATAAATAGTAGCATAACATTCAATTGTTTGTACAAAAAGTATTCTTTAATGGAGTTTAAAGAGGAATTTAATGAAAAAATTCCTCAAATACGTTTTATACAGTAACTAAGTGCC